GGCTGATATGAAAGGAGGGAAGGGGGGACTTCTCATGTGAAAGAGAAGGGCTTCACATTTTTTACCCCCTTAAAATCCATACCAGACCCCTATCTAGGATTAGTGCCCGGTATAGATTCTGGAAGGAACCACTGATGGGTTTTTTTTTACATTTTGGCCTTGGATGCCTGGAGATTTGCATACTATTAAAGGGCGCAATGACTGAAAAAGGATGATAAACACTGCAATGGAATGTGACTCAGCAACAGATAATGACTGACATATACATTAAGCTGAGCTCCGTGATTTGCCGTGACGGTGTGTAGGAGATAACCTCCCTGTACATCACAAGACGAACTACAAGCTGGAAGAGACATATACATCAGTGCAATACAGCAACTGCCCACAGAACTCCCTTCAGCCAAACCAATCTTTTCTTAATGTCTAGCCTATTACAAGCGCCGGATCCCCTCTGCAGCGTGCTGCGCTCGCGGCCTATACTTTGAAGCTTATTAATAAAGGAAATTCACTTTTCTTCTGATAAAACAAGCTCCTGGCCCTTCAACACGGTGCATAAGGGAGACATACAGATGTTTCTATGTCACACAGATGCACATTTCCAGAGAGAACATCTTATAGGAAAACGTACCTCAAGGCTAAGTAAGAATGGGATATTAATGGAGAAGAATTACAAGCGTGTAATACATACACCGGAGAATGGCCGGTTCCTACTTGCTGCTGCCACTGGAAAAACAGAGCAAATATTGAAAGCGGACAGGCACCAAGAATCATACAAGGAAAATTTAAAAAAATGATTTTTTAAGGTTTAACCGCTGAGTTTAGTGTCACTCCGGCCAAAAGTCACACACTCTAATATTTTGTTAGACCACCTTTAGCTTTGATTACAGCACACATTCGTAGTGGATTATGCAATGTCACAAAAAAAATTTTTTCCATCCAGAGTTGCATTCATTTTTCACCAGGATCCTGGCATTGTCATCTTGCAATATGCCCAGTGTGCCAATCCATTGATGGAAAAACCTGATCATTCATCATATTCAGGTAGGCAGCACATAACATATGCTAGAAATAATGTGAAAATAAATATATGGTTTTGCATTGTGACCATAGATAAATTTTCATCTAAAAGAAAATGGGTGTGGTCCTCTTAAGTCCTTAAAGTGACATTAAAGTCACATCCCCCCCCCCCCCCCACCTCCCCAATGCCGATGTAAGAACCTAAATTAAATGATGTCTCTTGATCCGATCATCTTTTTCCTTCCTGTAGTTTTCAGGAGTCCCTCCAGCGCTGGTGTCGATGTCTGGTCCAGCGCTGACTCGTGTCCCACGGTGTCTGTCCGCGTGCATTCACCTCCACTGTGTATCTCCGCTTCTCCCCGCCGAAGATCTCTACTGTGCATGTGCCCTCCCCATTATCCCTCATGGCTGCTCGAGAATCTTCAGATCTTCAAACGGGGGGTAGCGGGTGGCAGAGACACAGGTAAGGCCCGGTTCACACCTGGGCATTTTGTAGCGCGTTTGAACGCTCTGCAAAATGCTCAAACACTGAAACCCCATTATTTCCTATGGGAATGGTTCACACCTAGGCGTATTACAGGCCGTATGAACGCGCTACAAAACGTCCTACGCCCAAAGAAGTACAGGAGCTTCTTTGGGGCGGTTTTGTAGCATGTTTCCATTGGGATACAGCCAAGTAACCTTTGGAAACGTGTGTTTGTCGCGTGTTTTTACCGCGACAAACGCGCAACACAAAACGCGCGACAAACGCGCATATTTGATACACCTAGGTGTGAACCCAGCCTAAGTGTTTACCTATTTGGTAACTTTTTCAATATGTTTTTGCACAGTAGATATATGCAAAAAAAACTAATTGTACTTTAAAGCAAAACTCAACCCATTCATTTAAATGTTCCCCAAAACAGTTACAAGTTATTTTGCCATAATGAATCCAGATCAAACAACTATACATTGCTCAGCAAAGTATTTCTTGACATCTTTACCCAAGCATCTACAGTCATCATGTTTCCATACAATTGCCTTCTACTCTCTCAGCTCCACTTGCCTGAACTTCCGTGTCCCATACCAGCTCACAAGGGACAGCACAGCCTTCATGAACCATTTATCTGCTAGCTTGAAGAAGACAGAAGAAAGAGGGAAGAAGAAGGGGAGAGGGGTGGTTTGCTTTGCTGTGCCTGTGTGTTTTTTGGACACACACAGCTAACTACTACACACAGGTTGGGTCCATAGGACCCTGCAAGGAAAAGGAGTCATCCTTAAACAGGATATCAGGACCAGTGCTCAGGGGACCATCTGATTTTGCAGGAAGCTACAACTTTTAAACTGCATCCATTGTAAGTGATTTCACCAGGTTGGACTCGATGGACATGTGTCTTTTTTCAACCCAACTAACTATGTAACCAGCAATTTAAATAGTTTAAAAACATTCTGACTTGAATATCACTGTAAGGCATCCCTCTGGTAATTACTGACACAGTTGCCAGTGTAGTTGTGCCAGTTCTCAACCAAACTTTCAAGCACCTCAAATGGCTGGTGTCACCAAATAGCTAATGCAGATCTAAATATAGGCTAAGGTGACTTCTTCAGCTGTAAAGGATAAAAAGGGTCAGTTCCATTTTGGCTGTGATCTGCTATTCTGACACAAACAGAGAATTAGATGATGTACCGATCCAGATACTCATAGAAGTGCAGCAGCTTCTCTCCTAACAACCACTGCATCCCAGCAGTACTGATCACAGGTAAGGCCTCAGCTCTCCAATGGACGTTAATGAGTTAAGTGATGTAAATCACTGAAGACCTCCTTCCCATGCTGGGGAAAATGTTTTTCTATGGAGACCTGTAATGTCTAAAAACTCTTATTGATAGCAGCTCAGCTGCCAGTTCAATGATTCCTGGATCAGTTGAGATGAAAACAGATGATTTCAAAAAGATGTTCATATTGTACTATTTAGGGTCATTCCGTAGTCAACTTGCTCTATAGTGATAGAGCATAAGGCAAACATTGTTGTTCATATTGCTTTTTTTTTTTTTTTACCTTGTAGAGGAAGAATCTTTACTCCAAACTCTTCTAAATAACTTAAAGATCGAATCAAATCTAACTCCTCCTGAATGGTGTCAGGGCCGTCAGTGATCAGTTGTAAGCAGCTTCTGCAAAAAAAAAAAAAAAAAACACAAAAAACTAATGGCACATTCACATAATTACCAGCTCTGTAAAAACAATACTCTGAGTACAGGGGTAGCCAAACTGTGGCGCTCCAGCAGTGGGGAAACTACAAATACTATCATGCATCTGCCACAGTAGGCCATGCCTGTGGCTGTCAGAGACTTGCAATGCCTAATGGGACTTGTAGTTTCATCACAGCTGGAGGGCCGCAGTTTGGCTACCCCTGCTTTAGTACTTCACCAGCATTGCCAGACATCATCATTTCTACCACAAATCTAAAATAAGCAGGTGGTTTACTCCTCATCTCAGGACAAGGACAAGGGCCAAATAATGAATCCCTTATAAAACATGTGACTTCTATACAATAAAGTGACACTAAACTCAGGGGTTAAACCTTAAAAAATGCATTAAAGTACCCTAATCTGAGCCGACCTGTGACAATCAAACTGTCACCGATCAGCTCAGTAGATCGGAAGTGAGCGAACACTTACCGTCGCTCGCTCACTTCTCGATCTATCAGTGCAGAGAGCTGTGACCTTCACTCATGGATCCCTGCAGGTATTCCCCGCGCCCCTCCCCTGTCCGATCCTCCAGCGCTGACTGGCGGAATGGACGGGGGAGGGGTCGGGTACAGCTGACTCTGCCTTTAGATAGGCTGAGCCAGCTGTCACTCACGCAGCTGGGCAGATCCAGATAGCATTGTCGGGATCCGTTCCGGCTGCTGCGTCTCAGTATACCGCGAGCTATAGCTCGCGGTATACTGAACTGTGGGTCACGGGAGAACGCTAGTTTGTGTTCTCCCGTGACCCTTAGGAGAACTATGGGGAAAAGCACTGACCCCATAGTTCTCCTTTAATTTTGTATCCCTGGGCTGTAGATCTTCAAATCATCTCTGAATTCATGCCAACACTGTCCTTCCTTCTGCAGGGGGGCTACTTTTGTTCCCTATGGTCCCTATGTGTGTTGTAAAGTAGTCACCGCTCCAAGCTCACTCCTGTAATGGACTACAATCTCATGTTTAGTTTACTCATTTGCATTGAGATTGTAGTTCATCACAGGGTGGCTACTTTACAACACACACAGGGACCATGTGGAACAAAAGTAGCCCCCCTCCAGAAGGAAGGACAGTGTCAGCACCAATTCAGAGATGATCTGAGGATCTACAGCCGAGTGATACACAAGTAAGATACATGTCTGTCAATAGTTAGGGTACTTAAATACATTTTTAAGGTTTAACTCCTCCTGGGTTTAGTGTCACTATAAGCCTCGGGACCTCCAAGCTGGTGTACCAGTTGGGATAGGGTGAATTGACCAATAGAGTATAGTTGGCTCTATCTCACTTTAAGGTGGCGGGGCATATCATTTGACACCACTCTGTTACCCAACCTAAAGACTTGTTCACAGATTAAGTATGACTTTTCACAGTTATTAAAAGAGTACAAGAAAAAGCCCAACTGAATTTTTAATTTAAATCAGCTAAATATGTTATAGATCTAGCAAACCAAAAGGTGTGCAAAGTCTTACAGTTCATTTAATCTAGAAAGCAGAAATAGAAACCCAGTTATCTCGGTGAAAGCTATAGGCTATTTGCAGAGGTCCGACACACCTCCTGCTGAGGCAGAGGCGGGGCCCTTTAATTAGCAGGGGGCATAAGCTTTAAAGAGCTATAGGTCTGACTCAACAGTGGGTGTGTCGGACCTCTCCAGAGAGATCACTGTATCTGCGCAGAGAGCAAGGCTCCTTCCCTAGAGCATACTGGCACATATTGGCTCTTCTAATCAGGCTATGGTTGTTTTCTAAAGAAAATGAACTGTAAGACTTTGCACACCTTTCGTTTTGATGAACCTGGAATGTAGTTAGCGGATTTAAAAACCCCACTCCAGGCTGCTGGGTTAAACGCTCATTTGGCTGGGTGGAAAAGAATGCCCCCGGGATGTGAGCGTGCCTTCACTGTCCTGGCTTACAAGCAGCTTTGAGAGTCCGGTCACACAGAGAAGAAGAAGCCAGTGGAAGTGATCTGAAAGTGTATGTGAATTACTTTTTAATGACTTTGGAAGAGTTTTTGACATGTATTTTAACATGCTAACATGCATTTCTTATAGGCAGACACATAGAATATTAAATAATCATTTCACGCATGACTCTCTTGATCTCTCCCCCTCGATTACAGCGTACAGAAACTTGCCATAAACAAATGAATGCCTTCATTCACATCATATCTCTCACGCCAATGCCAAGTACTCAGTTCTGAAAATGGTAGCTGAGGGCCAAGTTTGCTTCCACCAAACTACTCGTATAGCCTTTCATAATGAGGTTCATGCGGTTAGCAATGGACCACAACATTTGCGATTGCTATGCTTTGCTTGATCTGCCTTGATGGAATCTAGACAAAGAACTTTTATAAAAACAAAACCCTCAACTGATAATTGTAGCTCTATAGGAACACTAGTCTATCTCCTGGCAGAATACAGGGAGACGGAAATCAAAAGAGCAATATTCGTAAAACAAGGTGAGTTGTCAAACTTCCTCTGCCAGGAGGCTTCAGGAAATAAGCCCAGAATATAACAAACGAATACCAGGAACACTTGAAAATCAAATTAAAGACAAGCTAGAAATAGACAAACTAAGTAATACTGTCAAGAAAAAAAATCCATCAAAGTAGTGTGGCACATACGCCCAAGAATCAGACGTAGGTACAGATGCGTCATCCTGCTCAGCTGCACTTCACACACCATTGCCTCCCTGATATTGTAATATTGTTTTTTTTACCAGCCTTGGATCGGGAATGTAGTTTGACTGTTACCGTTTTATTAGTGATGACGCACAGCTAACACAACACAACACTGACATGTTAAGTTCAGGTTAAAAGGTAATTGAAGTTGTCTCTCAATTAGTGGCTAATTAAGAGCTCCATTATCAAGTCAAATAATCATAATTTGAGTTTTAAATCATTTATTAATTTGAGAGTTTGCTTACTGTGGTTCTGTCACCTCAGTCTGTACTTGTGAAAACACCTCCTCAGCTAGCAAACGAGGGGAAAACAAATTAATTGCAGGATTAAGCTATTATTACCAGTGCCACAAAATTTGCAATTCTGATGCTGATGGAAAGACGAGTGTGTCGTCTTTGAGAAAGAGTCTGAAAAAATAACTTTCTACCAGGGGTAGGCAACCTTGACACTCCAGGTGTGATGAAACTAAAAATCCCATCATGCCTCTGCTTCTGGGAGTCATACCTGTGGCTATCAGTCTTGCCCTGCCTCCTGGGATTTGTAGTTCCACAACAGTTGGAGTCTCGAGGTTGCCTACCCTTGGTGAATACTGATACTAGCAACCCTAAAGATATATACACACACACACACTGCCTGGCCAAGAAAAAAAGACGCATACTCGTTGACTTACAATATTTTGTTGGACCGCCTTTAACTTTGATTATGGGACACATTTGCCATGGCATCATTTCCATAAGCTTATGCAATGTCACAACATTTATTTCTGTCCACAGTTGCATTCATTTTTCACCAAGATCTTGTAGTGATGATGGAACAGGTCAGACTGTGTAACATCTTCTCCACCACATGCCAAAGACTCTCAATGGGGTTACGTTCTGGACTCTGTGGTGGCCAATCCATGTGTGACAATGATGTCTCATGCTCCCTGAACCACTCTTTCACAATCTGAGCCCGATGAATCCTGACATTGTCATCTTGGAATATGCCCAATGTGCCATCAGGGGAAAAAAAGCCCATTGATGGTAAAACCTGAGCACTCAGTATATTCAGGGAGGCAGCTGACCTACATTTTTTGGGTACATAATGTTACTGGACCTAGACCTGTCCAACTGAAGGAACCCCACATCATAACACTGCTCCAAATCCAGATGGTGACTTTTTTGGTGACTTTTTTGGCCAGGCAGCATAGATATAAGATTTGGATATAGTGGACTGAAGACAATGGTCACCATAAGAAATAGAGAAGGTTACTCTCTCCATCAGGGACACAAAAAGCTATAAAAACCTAACAGGGGTTCAAACCTGTACTCACTCTTTCCAAAACTATTTTTTTACACTTGCATAAACTTTAACTGCTTTGCTCAATGGCTCTAAGTTCAATTTGAAGGAGTCCCGTTCTATTCTGTTCAGACAAGGCCTACAGACAAACATCTTCTACTGCGATTGCTCTTCAGAAAACCCATAATGTGCTGCCAGTCCTATGCCATATGTAATCACTCTCTCTATATCCAGATGCAGCAAGGTGTCCCGAACACTGGTGAATCTTGATCGCTAACAATGGGGGCAACATTTCCCTGCCACACCTACAGAGGGAGCAATTCCGTGGGGACAAACAGGCCGCCTCTTAGTGATCCTGTCCCTGGTGATTTTGAGAAAGTGTCACCTGTCTATTGTCTATTGCAAAATTGTCACATAGGTCAAAACTCCCAATATTTTGGGCCCAAGCAGGGTCCCTTCGTCAAGGTGTCACCTTAAAAAAGGCACCCTATGTGCCTTTTTTAAGGTGACACCGAAACCTTGCCAATTTTGACCTATGTGACATTATTGCAATAAAAAATTATGTCTTTGAATTTGGAGGGCTGTTGCCCTGTTTTCACATCTCTGAGGTTTTGCACAGAGCCATCGGTGACAGTCATGTCGAGCATCTATCCTATTTACATTGGTCCTACTGCTGCCTGGTGTGCAGCAGACATCGTCCACATCATAGCGTCAGCCATCTGACATCAGCCGAATAGTTATTTTCTACTAATCCGTCCAAACAGATTTAACGATTACATATGGCTGAAAATAAAGATCCCTATCCTTGTTTGTGAATTGAGCATTACATATTCAGAAACACTATATTGCCAAAAGTATTGGGACACCTGCCTTTACACACACATTAACTTTAATGGCACCCCAGTCTTACTCCATAGGGTTCAATATTGAGTTGGCCTGCCCTTTGCAGCTATAACAGCTTCAACTCTTCTGGGA